CCGTATTATGAAGTCATGCTCTAGATAAAATCATCTTAGACTGCGCAAAAACGTTTTTGGTGTATCATCTTAGGGGCGCAGCATTTTGACACCACTCCTCTCCCACTACACTACCTTTCGTCCGCCTCCGCCTGCTCTCAAGTTGATGTTCTTTGATTGCGCAGTGGTGGAAATGCCTAGGTGCAGAGAAGGATCATGAACTGATTCTGCAGAATGTGGTCCAGGAGAAAGCAAAGTATTTCAGAGCAGTGCGGAGACTTTTTGCACAGTGGCCTGGTGCAAAACAGGTAAAGGCGCTTCCATGCGAAACCCGTCTTTTCATCACATGTCATATGTTTTGCAACAAAGCCGCAAATTTCGGAGTCCAACTTCCATGCATCTTTTAGGCTGAGACTCAGAGCAAAGACAGGTGTGTTTGGAAAAGTCTCAGCGCCAAGTGATAGTTTTCCTTGCGAAGCAGCCCGGATAAGGATTGACAAGAATGCAAATGGAGGGATCACTCATCAGGAGTTCGAGGTGTGCTTTGCAATTCGGCTGCTAGATTTGACATGGAAATCACTGTCATGAAGAATTCAGGCCTTTAGGCTCAGCATTTCTCCACAAGTATCGGACAGGTACCAGGCGCTAGTGAGAGTCAAGGTTTTGCGATTGGTGAGCTATGAACAGATTTCTATGATCTGGAAGGCTGCTATGGTTGACCCTGCCCTGCGCGCTGTCTTTGATGCTTTGGAGATCAACGCGGCAGATGCATGGGCTTTGTTTCAACAACTGGACACTGCAACTTGTCTAAAACTCCATCGAAAGACTCGCTTTGGGATCTCTCCGCATGAGGGCCTATCACCATCCCAGGACGGCGAAAACAACGTTGATGTAGATGAGTTTCTTGAAGGCACCGCTTCCTGGTTTCAGATGCCTTCACTTGTGATAATTCTATATAATTCTGGGGCTTCCTGCAAACATCTTCAAACATCTGTAAACCATGCATATTGCATGACTTCCTGCTGTGCAGGATGCATGATATTGAAAGGACCGGCCAGGTCTATAGACGTGTCTCGGCACAAGGCTACTTGTAGATAGAGTAGCTTTGAGTTAGACAGGCCCTTGAATGATTGAAGAGTCTTTCGCCCGTGGACCTTTTCTTTGCCTTCCCACAGCTGTAAGCAGCGGCAGACGCAGCGCATAGCTAGTTTAAACTCATCGCTCCCCTTGTCCCACGACCTCCTGTATTCATCTGACGCCAGAAATTGCACCATGCTCACGATATCTTTAACATGTGCAGTTCCCATCTTCAAGTGCAGTTCCCAGAAGCTCAAAAAACTTTGAGGTGATTTGCATCAAGCGCGACATGGCAGCGGTCCGGCATCGCTTTGATCAGCAGGTGCGAAGAGCATCGCTCCAATTGTGCCAAGAGCATCGATCCTCACGATCCTTCCTCACATATCTCGCACAAGAATCTACTGAAGCCAAGAATCTTCAGACTGAAGCCGCAAACATGACAGCACCACACCACAAGCCTTGCCTGATGTTCTCGCCGATGGTGGAGGCCAACAGCATTTCTCAGCTTGAGACAAGTCTGAAAGATATGCTTCACATCGTCGAGAGGCACTGGGGTCACTAGGGACATGGCTGACACGTGCTGACACGACTGAAAGCAGTGCCCGACATTTATTCTTAGTGTGCACACGCTTGCTCATGTGGATCAGCATGGTACACTCAAACGATTTCGATGCATTTCGATTACATGATGTTTGCATCCACATATGTATCTACATTGATATATATATATATATGATATATGTATACATATAATATGATATATAGATTCATATCTACACTCCGAGCAAAAAATATACTTCACTAGGACGAATGTTTTTTCCCGTCCGCTGTTTCAGAACAAAGCAATGTATCTCTCTTTGCGGATCAACGATATTAGCGTGGCCTGCATGGTGGATCGAAATTACTAGCCGTTTTGAGCTAACATTCTTTTAAAGGTTGCACATGTGATCGGCGGTGAGCAAGTAGAAGTTTCCCAAGAGGAAAAACATTTGTCCTGGCGGTGTATACATCCTATGTATATATGATTATATATGTGTGTATATATATACATATATATATATATATGTACACACATGTATTTACATGCATGCATGCATGCATGCATGCATACATGCATACATGCATACATGCATACATGCATACATGCATACATGCATGCATACATGCATACATTACATTACATTACATTACATTACATTACATTACACATTACATTACACATTACATTACATTACATTACACATTACATTACACATTACATTACACATTACATTACATTACATTAATACATACATACATACATACATACATACATACATACATACATACATACATACATACATACATACATACATACATACATACATACATACATACATACACATGCATACATACATACATACGCACATGTTCACGTTTCACAAGAGAAACACACACACACACACACGTCCTTACATGTATGTATATATATATTTATTACATGATTAAATCACATAAACGATCGGACAAACGCACAATTCTGTATACACAGTTGTATTCTACAGATAATATACACAAATCTGTGTGTTGCAGATTACCTCGAAGTCCTTCTATCATCCAAGAGATTCTTGCTCATCCATCCTGTATATATTAAGTTGCAAAGAGGGATCATTTATTTATGCAGATTGACACCCTTGATAGATATCCACGCCGGTCCCTTGTCAGACTCAAAATGGGTTTATGATTTCTGGATGCGTTTGGATTCACTCAGTGTTTGGAGAGTTTGGATCTGCAAGGCATCTCTCGGGGGAATCTTCGTTGATGTATCTCACAGGCTTCTTAACAGCCCTCGTTGAAATTGTGAGGCCTGGTGGTGTTCATGGTCATAGACAACAATCCCGACACTCCGAACTAAAAAACTTTCTGAAGTCTTGATCAACTGTAGCCGCTGTAGCCAATACAATTTAAGAGCGACGTTGACGTTTGTCAGCCGCAACTTTTGGCAGTTGCGATTCGCAGGATTTTTCCACGAAGAATGTGTAGGCAAACTGTGACTTCCTGTCCATCGACACAACCTTGGTGCCAAAATCATCGATCGCATCGTATGTAATTATCAATGCGATGCAGCTTTGATCTTCCATCTCCCAAAAAATAAATTGACCAGAGGACCGGCATCAAGAAAGCTCGTGTATTCACATGAAGTTGGTTTTATTGAGAACAGGAAATCACCTCCAAAAAAGGTTGCAGCACGAGCAAAGATCCCACACGATCATTGCATAGCTGCAGAGCAAATCAAAGTGGTAAACTTCCAGAGGAAGTCACAGGAGCCGCTTTTTGTTGCATCTTGATGAATCTTGCACTTCTTCTGCAGCTTAGTTGTGCCACCATGACGGGAATGCGGGCTAGAGCAAGATAGTTTCTCCATTGACGCCCGTAATGAAGTTTCACGATTGTGTAGGCTGTTGCAACATTTAAAGATGCTGCTTAAGTCCCTTTTCAAGTGGAGCTTGTTTGCATTAGGGCTGCAATTTGAAAGATACTGCAAGATATTGCCAGTCCAGGGGCACTTGACAGGGTATTCCAGTTGCATGGTGGCATGATGTTTGAGCTGCGCAGCAAATACTGCGAGGTTGTTCTCAGACAAGCGTGCCCGGCCATCCAGATCATTTCAATTCCCATCATGCCAGATTGTGTTTCACAGAGTGTGTTTCACAGAGACGAAAGTATGGTCCTGGATTTCCAAACAAATGCGTGCCGGCCTATTCACTTGAGTAACAATGTCGATACTACCTGTAGCTGTAGCTTCAGAACACTTACAAGATTTGCAGTTGGGAAGGATTAGGGCACACTTGCGCTGTGGCAGAAACACAGCTCTTTTGCCTAGCCTCTCCAGAGGAGAAGGATCTGGAGCAAAACCACGTGCTGCCATAGTGCAGCAGCGTAGCATTTTCAGCTCGAGAGACATTCAAGAAAATCCTGCAGCCCATTGCAAGCTTCTGAGACAAGATCAGGTAGATTTTTGCGCAATCTCCAGTTATATCCAAACTGATAGGCTGACATTTCCAAGGAGCACGAAGAAACCAATATTTTTACTGGTCACTCTGGTTACTTTGCATATTCTTTGCATGATGTTCGCTATGTGCAGGGCCTTCACAATAGGCAATCGTGAGCATATGCTTTTGGCTCGTTCCGGATACTGAGTGTGGACGAGTACAATCCTTTCAGGTCGCAGAATCAGGCTGTCTTGCAAATATGAATTTGATATTTTTGTTGGAATCATACAGTAGCATGTTTGAGCTCAACCACGGTGAGCACTGCGGATTTGAGGCCAACGCAAGTCAATGCTTCGCCTACCTGTGAAGACATGCAGAGGCAGAAAGACACCAAGCTCCTAGACTAGACACCAAGCTCATGCATCCACTGCACCGCAAGACATAGAGCCTTTAATTCCAGACACCAGTGCTGAACAACTTTCAATAGGGCTGCTGCTCGGATGTTCTCTTTTTGACATACAATCAGGTGCAGTAAGTGCGAGGAAACACAGCCAAATAGTCACTCATACATGTGACAATAACACACGCAGGCGCGCACACACACACAAGACTCATCAAGTGCTATTTTGATAAAACAGGATTATTATATAAATGGTCGTATATAAATGATAAGTATGCCAGAAATGGTACGTGTTCTATATGTATATAATAATTACACAATATTACACATTAGTATGTGTGTATATATATATATTCATAGTACATACGTACATACGTACATACATACATATATATATACACATGTGTGTATATATATATTATATATATACATAATTATATATACACATACATAATTATATATATATACACATATATAATATATATATTTATTCAATATTTATTTACAGATATTTACAGTATTCGTAGCTATTTTGCTTCCCTTTGCAACTGTTCCCCATGGCCAGCTGAGAG